CGGCGGCACCCCCGGGGCAGCACCCCCGGGGCACGGGCAGCACCCCCGGCCCCCTCCCCAGCACTCCAGTAAACATCACCAGCAATGAAAACCAGGTAAGTTTAGAAACAGGGTTTTTTCTTCCCCCCCCCCACATACCCCAAAAAAATAAACTGAAGAGCATCGCACCTCATAAATAGTAAGTTTCCAAAGCAAACCCTGCGCCACGCGGCATTATCAGGTACGAGCAAAAGTGGCTAAACAAATTTCCTAACAGCTGTTTCCTTGGAATACAGAGTTCTCACACCCAGGCTGCTTGGTTTGTGCTTTCTGAGGAAACAGAAGAGTAAAACCAACAGCTCAGAAATGAAGTGGGTACCGGTGGCACGTGTCACTTGCTTTTTGGCTCACTCACTCAATACTGGTTGCTAAGCAATTTTCTTTTTTTTTTTTTAAAGCTCAAAACTACTCACTGCCAGATGGATTAATGAAAACACACACTTGCACTACTTACAACATTTTTCATTTATATTTCTTGATACACCAGTACTGTTTCTTTTAATTATTTCTTTTAAAGGAATTCCATTCCCAGGTTTGAAAGTAAAAACATAAATTCAACAGAGCAGGGGAGAGGGGAGGAACAGAAAGAAGCTAAGTGTAATTATCATTTTTTTCAGTGGATTGCAGGAAAGAGGTACCTAGAGACTCGCACATCCTCTGGGACCTGTAGTAAAGACAGCATGTCTAGCTCAGCATAGAGATGTGAGGCACCAGGTGACCTGAAGGTGCCTTGCTCTTAACTGGTTTATCTATTTATAACTACATGACAGAACATTACCTGTGACAGCACAAGTCAACGCAGAGTTATTTCAGCAGTCAAATAACCATACGCAGCCTCTTTTTATTTACACCTTAGGCACGGCGATGCTCTTTCCATTTTCAGTCCCAGTTCTTTAGAGCTGAAACCCGGCATCTGGCACTGTCTTGCTGCCTGTGCCCTGAAATGGCACCCAACTTACCTATGGCTTGGTAATTTTTAAGAAGTCATGATCAGAAACAAATAATGACTTGCTGTACAATGTAACCAACCATTCTGCCAATGGTAAAACCAAACTGCGTATTAGCCATTACCAAGGGTGTAATTACAGCGGGGATAACGGGAGGGGGAGGGGAATCCATTCCATCCCCAAATGGAGGAGAAAACGCATCTCTGCCATCTCCAACTTTCTGCCAGCTGAAAGGGGGGGAGGAGGGATGGGGGAGACTGCAGCATGGCGAGCAGTAACTCCGAGGCAGCTCTTTTCCCTTCACAGCTGGCAGTGAGCTGACAGGCTCAGCATCACAGACTGTTCTACAGTTGGGTCATTTCGTGCGCTGCTGCTGGGACACGAGGGAGGCTGCAGTAGAGCTCCCTGGCTACAGATCCTCCCTCACGCCCCCGCCACGGACAGAGGAAGTCTGGTTTGGTGCAGAGAACCAACAGAAAGAACTTTCTTTTCCTTTGTTTTTGAGAGCAAGTAACATCTGGTGTAGTTTACCGTTGACAGAGCCAATAAGGAAAGCAAAGGTCAGGGAAGGAGGGAAAACCACGGGCCTAGTAGGAAAGAAACAGGATAATCACCATGTGCAGGATGAACTGAAGGGGACAGCCAAAATCTCAAGGGAGCCACGAGGAAGAGGTGGCAGAGAGGAAGGGGCAGCAGTGGAGAAGGGGGACGGAAAGGTCAGGCAGAGAGTTGCAGGAGGCTCGTCCCGATAACGGGCAGGAGGAGGTGAGTGTGGGGAGCTGGAGGCGTGCTGGTAGAAAGCATCAGGCTAGACACCCATCGAGAGTCACAAAAAGCAATGCTGAGACAACCGGGGACCTCAAGAGACTGAGAAAAAGTGGACAACGCAGGCGCAAGTTTCCTTGCACTTCTGAGGCGCAAACCCATCAAGGGAAGAAGGCAAAGAGTGAGACGGGGCGAGACTTGCAACGCGCCAAGGGCAGCGTCTCCAGGAGGGATGCCAGAAGAACCTGGCGAGGCGGGACGGACCAGAAGTCTTGCGGGGAGAGGATGGCCCGCCGGGAGAGGGGAGGCGTTCCGGGGCCGAACAGAGAAGGGAAGCCGGCACCCGGCGGGGCGGGCGAGAGGCGCGGGGTGAGGGGAGCCGGCCAGCGGCCCAGGGCCGGAGGAGGCCGGGGAGGT